AGATGAGAATTGGGGAATGAAAAAGTTGAATATGAAACGGACAAAATCTAACTTTTTAATTTTTAACTTTTTACTTTTTAAAAAAACTTTTCAATTTTTTTTTTTAAAAGTTGAGGGTAAGTCTGAGCCTACCCTCAAAGGCTTGGGTATAAATGAACCGTTAGGTCTACCCTCATCTTTTATACCCAGGCCCCTTAAGGGTAGGCTCAGGCTTGCCCTCAACTTTTAAAAAAAAATTGAAAAGTTTTTTTTAAAAAGTTAAAAAAAGTAAAAAATTAAAAAAAATTAAAGGATTAGTTTTGTCCGTTTCATATTCAACTTTTTCATTCCCCAATTCTCATCTTCCCTTTTACATGACGGCGCTACCTCGGACCTTGAACCATAAATTAAAAAAATCCCAGGTTGAAATTCCGCCTCTCAACTTCTCTCACTCACGTCTCCTCAGTCCTAGCACTATCCTCATCCTCAAAACCATAACAAGAAAGATTAGTAATTTGGTATTGTCTTTGGCTCTTTGCCCTTAATTTTTCACTATTCCTGATTAAAATGTTGCATTTCTTTTTTAAGCAAAAATTGGGACATCATGATTGGGGGAAATTGATGTTGCATTTCTTTCTTTTTACTCATTGTCTCATTGGGATTCCCAATGAGTAAAAAGAAAGAGATTCCAAATTTGGGAAGGTATAGTGCTGTCAGGCATTTAGGAATTGAGAATTAGGAGTAGGAAATACTTTGAGACTGAATAAAGGAACTCATTGGATGCAATTAAATATATGGTAAATTGTTTGTGTTGTTGGAAAATTCGAAAGCGAAAAAAAATGACTGTAAACTCATTGGGAGTAAACTACTTGGAAATGCACGTACTTCTATTCATATTTTATCTTCTTTATTAGAGTTTACAAAATAGAATAAGATAAGTGTGTTAAAATATGTCTTTAATGTGTTAAAATATGCATTTAATGATCACATCTATATTATAGTTGTTGCCTTGTTGGGCTATGGGTTGAATTTGCCAAAACTATATTATTTGTTTTAATTGTTTACATGTATTGGTTTGTTCATGTATCTTATTCAAGAGAAAGTTAATTAAGTTGCTAAATTAATTAGTTTATATATATATATATAGGAATCTCTTTGTTTCTTATTTTTTGGATCCCATTTTGGTATTGACTAATGTTTATTGGATTTGGAATCCAAAGCATTAAGAAGCAAGAATCGTTCCAAATATATTTGTATAAATAAGATTATGATATCTAATTATTTCAAAAGACTGAAGAAAAGTTCAGCAAAAAATGTTGATGAAGACTCTACTGATTTGAGGTTAATCAAACCTCATTAGAAGAAGAAGCCCCACAACAGCGACAACAACACCAAGTAAAAGAAGCTCAACCTTCAATCGGGGTGTTCAATTTTAGATGAGCTTGAAACTGACCCAGGATTGAGGATACCAATTAACGAGCTTTGTTGTACTGACAAACAAAAAGAGGATATTCGAAGAGCATACTTGTTGAAAGGTCTTTGTCAACCTAAAGATCATGACTTTCCTTTCACTCCTTTTGGAGATAAAAAGTGTAGGTTTACATCAAAGTGGTACAAAGAAGGTTCAAGTTGGATGGAATATAGTGTGGTAAAAGATGCAATCTTCTGTTTGAATTGTTATCTTTTCAAACCCGATTATGGTGACCAAGCAGGTGGTGAAGTTTTTATGAATAAGGGATTTAATAACTAGAAGGATAAAACAAAAGTGAAAAAACATGTTGGTGATCATTCTAGTACTCATAACCAATGTCATGCCAAGTGTGTTGATTTGATGAACCAAAAGCAACACATCGATGTAAATCTTGCTTGCGTGTCGAAAAAGGAAAAATTGGACTATCACATTCGCTTGAATGCATCAATTGATTGCATTAGATTCCTTTTATATCAAGGATTAGCATTTCGTGGTCATGACGAGTCGGTTGAATCTGAAAATCAAGGTAACTTTATGTAACTATTGAAGGTTCTATCCAATCACAATGACGACATAAAGAAAGTTGCTGGGAAATGCTCCAAAAAACCATCAAATGACAACCCCCAAAATCCAAAGGCAACTAACTACTGTTTGTGCTCATTTGACGATAAAAAAAATTATTGCAAAAATTATGAGAGATAAACAACCGTTTTCTTTACTAGTTGATGAATCTCGTGATGTGGCAATTAAAGAACAAATGGCTATTGTTTTTCGCTATGTGGACAAAATAGGTAGTGTTATTGAACGTTTTATTGGGATTGTGCATGTTAAGAATATTTATGCAAAGTCTTTGAATTGCAATGAATGCCTTTTTTGTAAAGTATGGATTGAGTTTGACAAGTTTACGGGGGTAAGGTTTCAATGGAGCAAGCAATATGAGGGGTGAGTTCAATGGTTTGAAGACTTTGATATTGAGAGAAAATAAATCAGCTTTCTACATTCATTGTTTCTCTCATCAACTCCAACTAGCACTAGTCAAAGTTGTAAGTAAACATTCAGCATTGGGTGAACTTTTTCAAACTCTTTCTATGTTATCAAACACTATAGTAGCATATTGCAAGCACAGAGATCTTCTACGTGATAAACAATATGAATAGGAGATGGTGATCTTCAGACGTGATGCGGTTTGAATCAAGAATGCACTATTAAACGACCAGGAGATACACATTGGGGTTCACACATGGGGACAATTTATAGTGTCATAAACTTATTTTCTTCTGTTGTTGGTGTGCTCAGAGTGATTGAGATTGAAGGAGCTGATTGACAAAACAAAAGTCAAGCAAGGAGTTTGTTACGAATCATGGAGAATTTTGAATTCATCTTTTTGTTATTCTTGATGAAGAAAGTATTAGGAATCACATATGAACTGTCACAAGCATTACAAAGAAAAGTTCAAGATCTTCTTAGTGCCATGCAGTTTTTTACAAATTTCGAAGCGTCGATTGCATAAATTGAGAAATGAAGACACTTGCTTCGACATATTGTTGAAAGAAGCTTATGATCTGTGTAAAGATAATGACATACCAATCCCAGAGAACATGGAAGATAATTTTGGGAGAACAAACGGGGGATTGCACCAATTACAAATAAACATCATTTTAAGGTGGAATTAATGTACACAGTTTTAGATAACATTCAAGAAGAACTCAATAATCGTTTTGATGAAGTAAATATGAGGTTGCTTAAGTGTATGGCATCTCTTGATCCAAGTAACTATTTTGCTGCATTTAACAAAGATAGATTACTTGAGTTTGCAAAGTTCTATCCTGCTGATTTTCCTCAACACGATATTTGGTTGCTTGATAATCAACTTGAAAACTGTTTTGAGGATGTTAGCACCAACGCCAGTTTCACTCATGTTGATGGGATTGTTGATCTTACAAAAAAAAAATGGTTGAGTTTAAGAAGGATGTTGCTTATGACAAAGTTTTCTTACTTATTAAATTAGCATTGGTTTTGCCCATGGCTATTGAAACAATTGAAAGGGTGTTCTCTGCAACGAATCTTGTTAAGAATACTTTGCGTAATCGAATGGGGGACAAGTGGATGAACAATTGCTTAGTAATTTACATTGAAAATGAAGTTTTTGCTACAATTCAAAATGAAGATATCATTGAACATTTTCAGAACATAATGAAGCAGAAAATCGTGTTAAATTGAAGATCTCCAGGTATAGTATTCTAACTTTCTTTTATCTTTAAATAATCAATATTCATATTATTTATATCTTTAGGTATACCATTCTAACTTGATTTTTGGGTCAATACACAGAGGATGTGTGGATCTTTAATCTAGATGGTTGAGTTTGAATGTTAACATCTGGATATGGATTTGGAGTGATTGTAATTCATCTCTTTGTAAACCTTTGTGTATTTTACTTTTGTTAGAGTTGTGATTGAGCTTTACATTTGTGTAGAATATTTTTGGTGGATTTGTGGTTGTTGTAAACTGTTTTGATTATAGTAAGTGGATCATTAGATTCCCGTGGTTTTTTTATCTCTTCACATTGAAGATGTTTTTCCACGTAAAAATTTTCTTGTGTTTCTTTGTGAATTGGATGTTATTTTCTTGTGTTTTCACTAGTTGATTGGTAAACAATGGCAGAGCCACGAGGGCCTCCATCGGGGCAAAAATCCTGGGTCCGCCACTGTATCTCGTGTACTTCAAGTCATTATGGTCACAGTGGAGCTTAGCAACTATTTGTAAATTTTTCAGCTATATGTTGTCTAATACTCAAATCTGTATTCAGTACTCTGTGATATCCAACGTAATGCTGCGAAGTACTGCACTAGTCTATGTAACATTGTATCTATTGTCAGTTGCGAATGTTCGTATTAATATCTTAAAATTATGGCATTTTTTCAATGATGTTTTTGGGCCCTGTATCAGTATATAAACAGTCTTTATTCCTCTTATTTTATAAGAAGCTCAAACGTATCCCATGTTTCTCCCCTAAGATAACTGATTTAATAGGTTCTGAATTATTATTTTTTTCTAACACTGATGATGGATGGTGATAGGGTAAAATAATGAAATAGCAGAAAATGCGAGCAATCAAAAAGTGTTGGATAATAAACCAGTTTAAACAAATATTGTCCTTAACATTGTATTATTGGGAAGTAAGTTAATCGTTTTTAATTAACAGAAAGATGATGGATACAGGGGATTGTATTTGTATCCATTGTGGAATGGGCCAATCATCAATCTGTCTTTATACCATTTACATTTAGGCAGACAGGACCAGGACCACTCACTGCCATAGCCATAGATGACATCAATAGAAAGCAAAAGAGATAAGCTGTGAAACGTGGCTGAGTTCACTTTCATTGATAAAGGGAGATGGGATAAGTTCGTTCATTCTTCAATAGTTCTATATTGAAAATCTTTATCTCTTCGGTCTGAACACAACATTCAACTTTTAAAGAGATACTCAAATGAAACTAAAAATAGGTGCAAATAAAGACCCAATATTGGTGCGAAATACAACTAATTATAACTTCAGTTTGGTGCTTAAAGTGTAACTAGTATAAAAAGATATGCCTTTTAATAAAAAAAAATTAAGGCCAAATAAACCTACCTGCAACATCAAAATCACCATTTACACTTACACCTAACATATTACATAGTAATCAGAATTATTACTGACAATTGGGAATTGAGAAAATAAATAATAATAATACTCTTCTAATTAGCAAGAACCTCCCAAATCAACTCAGGGTCGTATGATGGCAATCTTGCCAGCGAGCAGCCTTCAAATCCTGATTCCTCAGCGAACATGGTGGGATATTCTGTGGAAACTGATGGCTGAGAATTTTCACTCTTCCAAAACCCATCTTCAGAAACAGTTGGTGAAACCAATTCACCATCCCAATTGATCAAAGGCGACATAGTTGAAGAAGATGAACATGAATCAACTACTTTCTCTACTTTCTCATTCTCAGTGGCTCCGCTTTTAGCCTCAACGTTGCAACCGCTTTTCTTCGTATTCTTTTTAGCTCTCTCCTTTTTCACCCTTTGACAGATTGCTTGAATCTTGGCGTCAACTGAGCTCTTTAAGGCATTAAATCTCGTACAATCTACAAATCCTAACTTGCTTGGATCTTTCATGTTTGGAAAATTCAACCTTGCGTATTCTCCTCTAAGTTTATAAGCCGCACGATCATAGGCATAAGCGGCTGCTTCAGCTGTTTCATAAGTGCCTAGCCACACTCTCATTCTGTTTTGAGGAAGTCTAATTTCAGCTACCCATTTGCCCCAATGTCTCTGCCTCACTCCTCTGTATAGCTTCTTCTTTGTCGGAGCTATGTAAGTAGTGCTGACAGAGTATGCAAAGTTCTGAAGTGGCTGGTTGTTGAGCGAATTAAACGTGAGCGGGTTGGTTTTCGTTCTGTTTTCTTCAGAGAATTTCTGGAGAATATCTCTCTGGCGAAGGTAAACCGAAGAGCCTAATGGCTCAGGGACAGGGCCGGTGATGGTGGGTGTTGGTGGACAGTGAGAGAAAATTGAGTCGATCGTGTTGGTCCCTCCAGTTAATATCAGTTGAGAGAGCGAAGACCGGATATCAGCACCTTCACTGAATGAAAAAGACGGACTATTTTCTCGAATTCCTTCCATTTCTTTCTTCTTTTTGGTGAAGTATTCAATGAAAACAGAGGAAACAGAAAGAGGGTTTAAGAGTAAGAAAATAATATAAAAAAAAGGAAAACAGGGCACTAAAAAATCTCCCTTTTCCTTGCGAAAAGAAATCAAAAATTGTGAAAAACTAGCAAGAAAAGACCTCAAAATGAAAATATTAGAAATGGGTTAGACTATAATCTGAGCAGATATGGCTCAAACTTGAAGAACTCTTGGGTAAAGAAACACGAGACTTAGAAATTGAGAAGAAGATACAATAAGAAAAGTAGAATGGAAGAATCAGAAATGTTACAAGATTTTGGGAGCAGAGAGGAAGATTTAGATTTTTTTTCTTTCAAACAAGGAGGTTCAAGTTACTAGGTTGAGTCCTGAGTTGCCATATTTATAGCTGCAGAGTTAAGCCCTTTCTCATGCCCCTGTGTTCACAACTTTACATTCCAAGATAATTCGACTTTCATCTAAATTACTGGAAGCCCATCTCTGCATAAAGACTATACTGCCCTTCTCAACATCTCTCATTCTTTATAGTGGCACCCAGTCTTGAAGAGGGCGTTCTTGTAATTTCCCAGTAATATTGATGTCTGACCGTGAATCTAGTTAAGGGCACCCTTTTAATATTTGACTGAAAAAATAAAAATACCCTTAAAATATTTCTTAATTAGTTTATTATAAATTAAAATTTAATTAATCTAAAATCTTTATTTAATTATTTATTAATCTAAATATGAAGATATATATTTTTTTATTTATTTATTTAATTAAGAATATTGATTTTTTATGTTAATTAGTAAAAATAAAAAACATTATAAATAATAGTGATGTGATATTGATTATATTATAAATAAATATTAAGATTATTTAACTTTAAATAATTTTATAATATTACTCCTAATTTTTAGATGGAGTTAATTATTTTTTATTATTTGAATTTTAAAATTTTACTTTTTAACTAATTAAAAAATAATAAAAAATTTATAAAATAAAATATTTGAGGTCATTTTTGTCTTTTTAACAAAATATTATAAGAAAATAAAATAAAATCTAACAAAGGTGAAAAAGTTTCAAGTGGGAAAATGTCGGTCTCCCAACAGAAAATAAAGTTTGACTTCGTGCACATATAGTCCCCACTGACGTAAATACTAATGCTAAAAAGCTACTTTTTCGATTAATTGCTTCCACGCAGCTTTTCTGTTTCTACATATTGTGGAATCGTAAATCCTCCGCCACGCGTCTTTTAGCAAGACTCTCTCTCTCTGCCTTTTTGTTTCGTGTCCAGGGCCAGGCAGTCCAGCACCTTCTCATCAATGCAGCTTTTGATATAAGCTGAAACTGCATAAAAAAAGCTCAAGCCCATATCAGCTCATCGGCTAATCTTTAATTACCTGCCCCTCCTTTCATTCAATTCATTCCAGAACGACAAATTCTAATTGGGTTGCTGTCTTGATAATTAACTTTTTTCATAAAAACAGAGATCGTACATATTTTGGGTCATCAATCCACAACTTTAAACGTAAAAAAAAAAAAATGGGGTTTACATCAGTCCATGAAACTAATTAATTAGATTGAGTACAAAGTAACTCCAAATTTAGCACAGTAGATTGATTAAGATTTAAGAAAGCTCGTCTGTCTTTAAAGAACTACTCATGAATGTCAAAGAGTCTATACAAAACTTTACTATGACCTATGTTTACACTATTTTCCATCACTGTTTTAATTTCAATCAATCTCAAATCTCATTCTGTGCAGGTTTGAATCATATCAATCCGCCCATACTGTCGCACAGTTCTGTGCTAACAACCCTTCTGATTTACCACCGATCTTCACATGTTACAGCTAAACAAAAGCCAAAAGAAGGAAATCAATTTGATTTGGAGACAAGAAAAGGATAGCACATGTTCTGTATCTGAGCCAAGGATATAAAGTCGAGGAAAAAAGGGAGCCAAGTCATTAAGAAAACCAAACAAGAGCATCTCTGAGTCATATCAACAATCAACCACTTGTTTTGAATGAGGTTGGACCTTTTCCTTCTTCAAAAGTTTCAGATCAGAGACAAACAAAGCTATCAAAATCAAAATGGGACCATTTCTGAGTAAAGGTGCATTAAAGACATAAAGGTATCGTTTGAAAAGGTGATATATATATATATATGTATACAAAGGGTTTTGTGAAAGACAAAGCTCGTGAAAGCCACCAATCGAATCTTGAATGCCCAGAAATCTTTCTGCATGGGCATGTGAACATACCTAACTATCGCCTTATAAGTCAATCCACAATAGTACTCCCTCAGTCCTCATGTATATCCATCTTCTTCTTCGTCTTCTTCCTTATATCCTTTTGTCTTTTTTTCCAACTTTTCCCCTCAATCAACGTGACCCAATACCATATTTATACAAAATTTTGCTTTTGCATTTATCAGATCAAACAAAACATGCCATGTTACCAACATGTTTCCTTCAAAACTCAATCATCCTAGTGGTTATATAGCTATACAAGGTATACATTTTGCATTAAAATATTAAAAAACTCTCTATTAATATTAAAAACCCCATGTAAAATATAAAAAATAACTATCCCACAAGGGCCCATCACTGCCGCTCCCCAAATAAATCATGAAAATGGTATTACCTTATACTCAACTAGAAATCGAAGTGGGATTGTAGGTTAAAGCTATGCACAACCCTAGGGGTGAGCGGTTCCGGGTACCCTGCACTTTTCTGGGGAACCGGAACCGGAAACCACAGTACAGGTTCCCAAAAAAAGGAACCGGAACCGGAACCGCACAGTACAGGTTCTTCAATTCAAGGAACCGGAACCTAAATGCAGGTTCGGTTCCTTTCCAGGGTACCTGTAAAAAATCAATTACCCCCCTATTAGTTTAAAAAATAACAAAAACACCTTATAAGTTTACAAATACAACCCTAACAAATTTGTTATTCATTATTGTGTCCAATGTAACTCATAACCTGCAATCTCTAAGCAATGCTTGAATTCAACCAATCATCACAATTCACATAAAATTCGTCAATCAAAACCAAAACACAAACAATTATTCATCACAATCACATAAAATAACTTCACCAAAATCATTAAAAAAACAACAATTCTTAATACTAATTACTAACATTGCCATTTGCCAGGGGTCTATTGATAAGTTAATAAATTATTAATGTTTATAAATTTATTAATTTAATGTTATAATTGGTTAATTGAGTATTTATAATATACCAATTAATTTAGTAAATTTAATATTGAAACAAAAGGTATAATTAATAAGTGATCATACTACAATGTAAATTGTAATGTTATAATTAATTAAGTGATCATACTACAATGTAAATTGTAATGTTATAATTAATAAGTAATATATTATTTAATTATAATGTAATATTATAATTAATTAAATTGTTAATCATTTAATTAAGTATTATAATATTGTTTATAATAGAATGTTATAATTAATTAAATAATCATACCATAATATAAATTATATATAATGTTATAATAATAAAATTATAATATTCGATTAAATATTGTGCAAATTAGTAAATTACTATGTTTATAATATAATGTCATAATCAATTAAGTAATCATTAATTATGTAATGTTATATTAATTATTGATCATAATTAATAGTATAATGTAATGTTATAATGAATTAAGTAATCATACTACAAATCTATATTTAATATTATAATTAATTAAATTTCAAATCATTTAATTAATATACTAATGTTTATATGGAATGTATAATTGATTAAGTAATCATATACAAATATATAAAGTAATGTTATAATTAATTAAATTTTTAATCGTTTAATTAAGTAAGTTGTATAGTAAATTACTATGTTTAAATATAATGTTATAAATTCATAACTAAATTAAGTAATGTAATAGTATAGTAAATTACTAATGTTTAATATAATGTTATAATTCATAACTAATTAAGTAATTATGTAATCATTTAACTATATAATGCTATATTAAGTAAGTGATTATATATAATGCAATATAATAATATTATAATTTAATTGAGTAATTATTTAACTATAATGTAATGCTTAATTAATGTTTATAAGGTAATGTTATAATTAATTAAATTTCTTATCATTTAATTAAGTATTGTGCTAATGTTTATGTAGTAAATGTAATTACTAATATTTAAAATATAATATCATAACTCATAATCAATAAGTAATTATTAATTATGTAATTGTATATTAATTATATGATCATACTATAATAGTATAATGTATGTTATAATGAATTAAGTAATCATACTACAAATCTATAATTTAATATTATAATTAATTAAATTTCAAATCATTTAATTAATATACTAATGTTTATAATGGAATGTTATAATTGATTAAGTAATCATATTACAAATATAAAAGTAATGTATAATTAATTAAATTTTTAATCGTTTAATTAAGTAATGTAATAGTATAGTAAATTACTAATGTTTATAATGTAATGTTAAAATTCATAACTAATTAAATAATTATGTAATCATTTAACTATATAATGCTATAATTAGTAAGTGATTATAATATAATGTAATATAATAATATTATAATTTAATTGAGTAATTATTAACTATAATGTAATGCTTAATTAATGTTTATAAGGTATGTTATAATTAATTAAATTTCTATCATTTAATTAAGTATTGTGCTAATGTTTATGTAGTAAATTAGTAATTACTAATGTTTAAAATATAATATCATAACTCATAATCAATTAAGAAATTATTTAATTATGTAATGTATATTAATTATATGATCATACTATAAATAGTATAATGTAATGTTATAATGAATTAAGTACATACTACAAATCTATAATTTAATATTATAATTAATTAAATTTCAAATCATTTAATTAATATACTAAGTTTATAATGGAATGTTATAATTGATTAAGTAATCATATTACAAATATATAAAGTAATGTTATAATAATTAAATTTTTAATCGTTTAATTAAGTAATGTAATAGTATAGTAAATTACTAATGTTTATAATGTAATGTTATAAATTCAAACTAATTAAGTAATTGTAATCATTTAACTAAAATGCTATAATTAAGTAAGTAATCATATATAATGTAATATTAATATTATAATTTAATTGAGTAATTATTTAACTATAATGTAATGCTTAATTAATGTTTATAATGAAATGTTTATAAGATAATGTTATAATTAATTAAATTTCTATCATTCAATTAAGTATTGTACTAGATTTATATAGTAAAATAGTAATTATTAATGTTTAAAATATAATATCATAACTCATAATCAATTAAGTAATTATTTAATTATGTACGTTATATTAATTATGATCATACTATAATAGTATAATG